AAAGAGTGTATCAAGAAGCTGAAAAGAGAAACTACAAACTCAGATGGAATATTTGCCAGCCATATATCCAAGAAAGGACTGATATACAGGATTTATAAAAAGCTCCCAACATTCAACAATAAACACACAGACACACACACAAACACATACCAACCAGAACAATTACAAGAGGAACAAATGATAGAAACAGATATTTCACTTTAGAGTCTATACAGATGACAAGCACCCAAAATATATTCAACATCTTTAGTCATTAGTATTTCACAAGTTAAAACGACAGTGAGATAATATTACACACTCAACAGGATGGCTAAAATAAAAAATAGTGATAAAACCAAATGCTGGCAGGGATACAGAGAAACTGATACATTCGGTAGACATGTAAAATGGTACAGCTATTCTGGAAAACACTCAAAGTGTTCTAAACAACTGAACACACAGCTAGCCATATGACCCAGCGGTAGCACTTCTGTATATTTATTATGAGAAATGAAAATGTTTGTGGTCTGTTAGGAGTGATCCAATAGAGAAGGAAAAATTAATGATGTAGGAGAAAGAAGGCATAAATGTAGAATAAAATGAAGGCAGTCAAGAGTGTAGGGTCCACATACAAGTGAATGAATGATGTTGGCATTTCACAGGACCTTCCATTCATCTTAACAGGAGAGAAAATGCAAGAGATTGAGCACAGATATGCTTACCTTGCAAAATTTGGTGAGAAAATAAAGTTGCTCTTACTTGGTGTCCTCTATTTTTCTAGGAGTTTTAAGGCAAGAATATTATCTGAATGAAGAGTGTGGTGCAGGGTATATGGGTGAAGTAGTCATTTTGGAAAGAAAATAAACACATCAGAAGAGTGTTTAGAATTGATTGTTGAGTGACCATGGCATTTATTATAAAACCAGCTATCATTTTCCTCTACCAACACTGAGCTATAGGTTGCTTATAAGCCTACTGTGATCTTGAAACCATGTTTAAATATCATATTAATACAGTTTCTAATTGTTGTTTATTACTGTCTAATAATTATTTCATTTTACAAGAGAGGAAGGTATAAGTCAGTAATACTATGAACAAAAGGAAGAATACATATTAGGACAGACAAATTAGCACTTATTTAATTATATATATGTGTATATATATATATATATACACACACACACATATACATATATATTTACATAATTTATATAATTCAGATTTTACTGAAAACAGTCAAAATTTATAATTAGTTACCAGATTTAATAATAGTTTTTATCTTGACTGTAACTTCAGCATTGATTTTTTTTAGGAAACCTATCTTTATGAATTAGAAATGCTTACTAATATCTACATTTCTGTGTTTCATTTCAGTATGGACCAATATTTACACTCATTGTTATGGGAAACCGAATGACCTTTGTTACTGAAGAAGAGGGAGTTAATGTGTTTTTAAAATCCAAAGAATTAAATTTTGAACTAGCAGTGCAAAATCCCATCTATCATACAGGTAAAGAATATTTCTATATATTTCATTTGAACTGTAACACTGGAATCCAAGAAGAGTTTTAGGTAAAAATTGCACACTTAGTCCTCTATCAAGAATGATGAGGACCCATTATTTTATTCGCGAGGTAGGGCTGGAGGAGGAAAAGAACATATAATGAGTTTAGTCATTGAAAAGCAAATTATTGCCAGACGAATACATTGAGATTTCAATTAGACATGTGACTGAGATGCCATTACCTCACTGTTTTCTCTAGAGACTATTTGGAACCCGTATCATTTTATAGTCCCTGAGGTGTCACTAACTCTGTTCTGCTGTGATGTCTACAATATCCTACAGGCTATAGCTCTTGGCTTTATTACAGGTTGTCACTCTGCTCCCTGAAAGTAGATTCCCACTGCTTAGTAAGCTCTTTACTGTGGCTTTTCCTGACATAACTCATAGAGCCATTAAGGTAAGTGAGAGCTTGGCTTACTAGTTCTCAAGTTTGCTAACCTCAGAGACTGCTAAATTGATCTGGTCAGCATGATTCCAGTGTAGCTGTCTGTCTTCATTTGGTCTCAGGCTATAGATGTATGTGCTGAGGACATTTGTTCTCCCAAGAATGTGAAGCTATATTGTGTGTAGTTCTTTCCTCCATGTTCATAATATTTGCACTTGTTTCTATGGCTTCTTTCTCTCTGCTTCACTTTTTCTTCTTAGGTTTTTTTTTCATGTGACTTCTTGTGGTTCTTCTCATCCTTAAGACAAAGTTTGTTTTAGAAGCTACCAAGGATCACTAGCATGATTTTTTTTTCCTCTTGCTTGCATGAAAGACAGCATGTTAAATTTATTGACCACTTGGTACTTCTTGATATTTTGGACTGTGGAATTCCAGATCAAGGAATATAAGTATTCTTAAGGCTTTTGATCTGTATATCCTCAGAAAGATATGCCAACTTACCTATGAGAGGTGTACAGAAATGATCAACTTTTTTCACATATGCCTCCCCTGGGGACTTTCATATTTAAGCATTTGTATTTGATGGATGAAATAATATTTACTCTCGACCTACCTTCCCATTCCTCCCATATATTTTTCTACCATGAAGGAAATATTTGCTCAGGAAATCTAAAAGTTATTTTTAATTAACTTAAGTAAGATGTAACCTACATATAATAGGATGATACAATATAAAAAATGTTTTTTAGTTATTTCAAAGATAATAAAACTAGGAAAAAACATATAAATAAAGGAGTTTTAAAAAATATTCACTCATACTCCCACCACCCCAATCTAACCTTTATAGTAGCAGGAGCATGAATATTAATATGAAGGAAATAGTGGGGGTTGAAGTTATTCGTGGAGTTAGGAAAGGCCTCCTGGCAGAAGTGTAATATCGAACAAGATACTTGAAGGATAAATAGAAATTAGCAGGAGAAACTCATGACTTATCAGAGGGTATATGGGAGTGGGGGTGTGGTTGGTAAAGAGTATTCTGAGCAGATGGAACAACTTCTGAAAATGCTGGGATACGTAACCCACTCTGTCCTCCATATATGTAGAAGATGGACTTAGAGCTGAGGTAGAATCTAGATATACTAGCCTTCTAAATCACCCACTTCTAGATCATCCCTTAAAGTGAATTACCCTATCGACTTACTATCTTAGAGTTTGAATCTTTACCCACTTTTATTCACAGGATATGCTTTTATGTACTGGGAAAATGTTGGCTCTAGCTCCTACTGACTAAGTAATAGTAGAAGAATACTGACTGTCTGCTTCAAGGAGTAGTTGCTTATTCTGAAACTAGCTTTCTCTATTTATAGCATCAATTCCAAAGAATGTCTTTTTCACACTGCATGAAAAGCTTTTTATTTTGATGAAAGGGAAACTTGGGAATTCTAACCTTCCTCAATTTGCTGAGCAACTGACGGAACAATTGCATGAACAGTTGAAGAGCTTAGGCACTCATGGGACAATGGACCTGAACAACTTAGTAAGGTAAATAGGTACAAAGGATATATTTGCAAGATTTAATCTTCGTTTTTTTTGAATGAAAAAATGGAAATTTATATTAGACTTAAAAAATTGTCAGGTATATTTAAATGAAGTCTATTTAACTAGGCTATTAAGAGATTAGTTTAGCCTTTCACATTCTCATTTATGGGCAATTTTCAGTTTAGCCTTTTTTTCTGATGGTGAGTAAATAAGTCAATACAAACATTGGAAGATATTTCCAGTAATGTCTCCTAGGTCATTCTGTGCAATTATGTATACTTTACACGAATTTACCTCTCACAGTTGCCATGTAGCCATCTTAATTTTTGATAAAACCTTCAGTGCAATTCGTGATTATCAGAACAAAAGGACAGTTTGGAGGACAAGAGATAATAGAATCATTAAGTGAATGACAAGTGTCTGGGAAGTATTTGAGACTTCAAAAGATGGCTAAGGCAGATTCATTGTGGATCCCATGACTGAGCCCCAGGGTACTCTTAGAAAGGCAATTCCAAGAGACAGGAAAGGCCAGTGGACAGAATCAACTATATTCTGAAACTTTCTGGAAGAGTTAAGGGATGGGCATAGGAACCATGAGAAAAACTGCCCACATACATAAGGATATTTGGTAAACCGAAGTTACCTGAAGCCGGTACCTTTCCAGCGCAGTGGAATCCTAGGATGCTAAAAGCAGTATTCAACAGTTCTGAATCATGAAACAGAATAAAATTTAACATTTCGTTAGTGGTCCAGAAAGGGGAGAAAGCGAACAAAAAGAAACAAGCCTTAAAATGTTCTAGAGCATACCTAATATCAACAACAAAACAAAGCAAATCCTTGGCTATTTTGAAATATTAGGGGAGGGAGATCCTTAAAGGATAGTAAATAAAAATTCAATTAATAGCATTTAGTGTTACGAATGTAGAGCATGTCAATAGTCATCAATAGCAGTTTGTGTGTGTGTGTGTGTGTGTGTGTGTGTGTGTGTGTTTTAAGTATGCCACAGTAGGTAACCCTTTCATTCACTTATGGTAGACTTCTTGATAAGAAGAACTAGTCCAGTATGCAGTAATTCAAATTTGTGATCTTATGGAAAATTTGGTGATTAATATTGCCATTTTTATCTTTTTTTTTTCTTGCTGCAGTGTAAAGACAAGGGCTATATTTTAATTATTGTTATCATTTGCTAAAGAAATGCTTGTTAAATTGTATTGACTCTATTTCTGTTTATCATTTCATTTTTGTCAGATTTTAGTAAGCTGGCATAGAAAACATTTTGAAATCTTCAGGTAAATGAGACCACAGTTTTGCATCCCTGAAATAGCTTGACCACAGAAAGCAAATGTTAAAACTTCTTAAGAGTGATTTCCTAAAAAAATCTGTCCTGCAATATCTACTCCTAATATATTGCTATTAAATAATGCCTACAGAATTCTGTGACTTTCTTTCTATATGTTTCTGTTTTTGTAGGAATCTCCTTTATCCATCCACAACAAATATACTGTTTGGTAATGGTTTGTTTCCTGTAAATAAGAGGAAAATCCAGGAGTTCCATGAGCATTTTCAAGTTTATGATGACAGTTTTGAGTACGGGTCCCAGGTGCCAGAGCATTTCCTAAGGTAGAGAGTTGTTTCCTATAACTAATTCATTGACTATACTCTTCTCATCAGTTCATCTTTTTCTCTCATTTCTCTGTTCTAAGTAGATATGACAGGAGTCTAAGTGGAGAGAAACCAGTTCTTATGATGTGCTAGTTTGGGGTTAGTATGCGAATTGCGGAAGAAACAAAAGAAGAAAGATGCACTTCTTCCTTTTTCTTATTTTAGAGAACAAAAACAGAGAGACAGAGGAGATAAAGAATTTATTTTGTGGCCTTTTGTCCTCTTTGTAGCTTATTAGTGTTACATTCATCAGCACAGTTTAGATTCATGCTAAATAATCAAGTGTGACCCTCATTCCCTCTAAGGCAAAAGTGGGGTGGTCTGATGTGTTTCTCACAGTTGACACAGATAAATATTTATAAAATCGTTCATATGCAAAGTACTCACATGATATATTTTTTTAAATTTCTTGCTAGTTACTCTATGTCTTATTACATTCAGGCTGCTGTAACTAAGTAACATAAATTGACTGGTATATAAACAATAGAAATTGATTTCTTAGAATTATGGAGGCTCAGAGTCCAAGATCAGGTGCCAGCATGGCTGGGTTCTGGTGAGGGCCCTCTTCCAGGTTGCAGGCTGTTAACTTCTATGTCCTCAGATGGGGAAAGGGGCAAACACACTGCCTCAGGCCATGTTCACCAACAACACTACTGGCACTAATGAATGGGCATCAATCCCATTATTAAGGGTTCCATCCTAATGATCTCATCACTTCCCCAAAGCCCTCACCTCCTAATACCATCATTTTGGGCATTAGGCTTTCAATATACAGATTTGGGGAGGGATATAAACATTCAGATCAAAGCAGTATGTAATGACCGCTGTTTAGAAAGTTTAAATAGCCAGCTTGCTTTACTTGGCCATTGGTCCCTGTGCTGGGTTTTGATCCTCTCACAACTTATGCCAGCCACAGTGCAAGTAGATCAGACAAGTTGTGGGCTCTGTTTTCTCATTTAATGTCAATTCAATAAGAATTCAAACACGTATTTGCAAAAGACACTCAAATGTGGTTGTTCACCGGTTCAGTTGTTCTTGTGGACTAGTAATTCTGAAGATAGACTTTAATAAAGTTATACCAGAAAATAAAGAAGAAATTTAGAAAAATAAAATTCAAATTCTTAGCCATTCCCTTATTTATGCTATGACCTGTTACTCCAAACATATTTTCAAATTAATCTCTGCTCATATTTTTTTCCCTCACGTAGAAACTGGTCAAGATCCAAACAGTGGTTACTAGCACTATTGGGAAAAAAATTTCCAGATTTAAAAACAACAGCAAAACCTGCAAAAGATAACTCTATGGCAAGTATTCCTTAGCTCCTTAGCTTTTTTTTTTTTTTGGCTAAAATATGAGATGAATAAAGTAATAAACTATAGTTGCTAAAAATTTAGTTTTGTTAAAAAATAATAATTTCAATTAGATACCATTTTTTCTAGACAATTACTGGCTATGTTTATATACATTGTTTTATTCTTTTTTTACCTTTTTCTTTTTAAGAGATTTTTGCTATAAGGCGCGCGCGCTCACCAAAGAGACAGAGAGATAGAAAGCAAGAAATCACCCCTTGTGGGGATGTCTACACCACAATTTCTTCTCCTCCATTCTCCTCTCTGGATTTTGGGCATGCACGCACAGCATGAGTTTGTTGTTTTTTTAATTTAATTATTTTTTTGACAGGTTTTTGCTCTAGGGCATGTGTGCTCGCCAGAAAGACAGAGAGAGATAGAGAAACAGAAAATGAGAACTCACCCCCCCGGGGGGAAGGCCACACTGCAATCCCTTCTTCTCCATTCTCCTCTCGGGATCTTGGGCACGCACACACAAACACACACACACACACACACACTCACACCTGGCACAAGTTTAAGCCACTGGGTCTGGGACTCAAACAGTGGTTGATGACATGGGTCCAGCACCATAGCCATTACGCCAACTGCTGGTCCTCCCAGCATGAGTTTTAAGCCGCCAGGTCAAACCGCAGTCGACTACATGGGAGTCCAGCAATGTAACTATTATGCCAATTGCTGGTTCCTTATTTTATTCTTATATGCTCACAACTGTGGGAACACGTTTAAGGGAGAATTTGAGGTGTGGGGACATGCTCTGAGCAAACACCACCTGCTCTTTTGGGGTTTGGCAAAACCTTATAACTTGTCTTTCCCTGACCTTGGTTGCAGACAGAGCAAGGGTGGAAATTACGAGGGGTATTCCAACAGACACATCTAATGGACTTTAAGAAACATCTTGACCCCATTAGTAAAGTCCAATCCCTACTCTGCATCTGAAAGGTTCTTTTTTTTCTTTTTTTTTTTGAGAGGTGCGCTCGCTGAGTTTAAGCCACCAGGTCCGGACTCGAACCATGGTCAACTACGTGGGAGTCCAGTAACATAGCCATTATGCTAACTGCTGGTCTCTGCATCTGAAAGGTTCTTTAGCCTTCTCTAGGTGTGGTGGTGCACTCCTTATGGAAAAGTTCTTTAGCTCCTTCCCCACGCTTAACAGCTAGTTCTCTGCATTAGAAAAGAAGATGAGACTTTCTCTTAATAAAATTATCACCAAAAAATACACCTAGCCCAATATGACTAAGCCCTCATAAATTTGTTAATTGCTTCTTATTGTCTATAATCTGACAACCAATCTATAAAGTGTCTTAAAATATACATGTGTAATGTGTCCTTATACTATAAATAAAGAGGCCCAGTTTGTCTGGATAGCTCAAGTAACTCAAACAGCTCAAACAGCGGCTCAGGCAGCTAAAGCAGCACCTCAAGCAGCAGCACAAGTTGCTTAGGCTACCTAGACTCAGTCTGCCTGTGTCCATTTCTATTCTATCCCTTTGTCTCATTCTTTCCAATTCCCCAGTCCTGGCAAGATGGAGGGCTTTCTCTTTCTCGTCCTCTATCTCTTCCTCACCAGCAGCCCCCTAATCATAATTCAGCGAGACCCAAGCTTTGGGGCAGATGCCGACACACAACGATGAAGTAGGTATTAATCCTATTCTACCTATGAACTATTAAATTATAATACAATGCAGTTGTGTAAATGCCTAGTGAGTTAGGGATTATGTCTAGAAGGGGGCAAGTGCTGCATAGTGGCTAAGAGTCTGGGCCTTGAAGCCAGGGCCAAGATTACATGTTTGGATCCTAGTAAACCACCTACAAGTTTTAATTCCCTGGCAAAGTTCCCTAACCTTACTGTGCCTCAGTTTCCTCATGTGGATGCAGGTGAGGGTAACAGTACTTACTTCCTAGAGTTGAAGTGTTGATTGAGATGTGTTAAATGTTATAAAGCACTTAAAACAGCTCAAAGCACTGAAAACAACACAAAGCACTTAAAACAGCTAAATATTAGCTCCCACTATTTCTATGACCTAGACTTGTGTTATTTAAGAGCAAAAATACACATGCAACTTAATAAAAATGTTACCATGTTTGACTTTTGTTTCTGTGGTGGAAGGTGACCATGAGCAAAGGCAAATATGGGGAAACCTTGCCATGAAAAAATACCTTAGTGGAACTTGTTTAGCGACCTGGGAGCAACCATAATAGGTGACCCTAGAAGGACTCTGCTCTGAGCTGGCACCATTCAAATCAAATGTCAATACTCTGCATGGTTTTTAGAGTAGTGCAGTACTTAAAATATACTGATTGGGCCATTCTCCTGTAGTATATAGGTTGAGAATCTACATGGCAGGTAGGAGTAGGGTTTTCTCCTGAATACTTAGGAAATCTGTGTTTTTGTGTTGCTTGGATTTTCTTGTGAGCAGAGGTTTATTTTTTTTAAATAATATTTATCAAAATGTAGTATGCACGAGATTTTTCATTAAGTACTTTAACTACTAAGTAAGTTAATTCTTACAACAATCCTATGAAGAAGGTATCATATTATGACCATTTTATAGATAAGGAAACTAATGTACTGAGGATTGAAGTAACTTGTCCAAGATCATTAAGCATTTAAATAGCTAGACCAAGATTTGAACACATGTAGGGAGGCAGTTGAGCTCCAAAGTCCTGGTAAGTATGTAAATCCATTAGCATGCCTCGAACTGCCTGCTCAGAAATGGCAGAAATAAAATCTTTTAGATTACAGAAAAATGCATGATCATTATTAACATCGATTTTTGTCACATAGCCATGGTTTGACAATATTTATTTCTTTTAAGCAGACATTAATACAGATTTTGCTGGATGCCATAGAAACGGAAACAAGTGAACAAAACTGTCCCAAATATATGCTGTTAATGCTTTGGGCTGCTCTGTCTAATGTTGTGCCTGTAAGTATATTAGTAAAGTGTGGGTTACCTTCTGTCTACTGTACTTTCATTTTCTCCCCTCCCTCCCTTCCTTCCTTCCTTCCTTCCTTCCTTCCTTCCTTCCTTCCTTCCTTCCTTCGTTCTTTCGTTCTTTTACTTATTATATGGAAGAAAAAGACTACAGTGGATTTGATTATGTGCTATAAAACAAAACTGAATGTGTAATGAAATCTAATTAGGTCACGAGGAGACAAAGCGGAGATCCAAAGTGAGATCCCTCTGAGAGGCTTGCCCTTTGGGCTAGTTGTGACAGCATCTGTTTATGGGGCATTTTTTTGTGCTGGCCAATGTGCTAAGTATCAGGGCTGCAAAGATGAGGAACTTATCCCAGCCTTTCACTGGGGGCTAGAATTAGCTAAATGGATAGTTTCAGATAGAATTGGGCTTGAGTCCAGACATCCCCAGTCATAGCTATAGAATCCCATAGGAGTAACTTAAACTCTGTTCCTCCATAAGAAATAATCATGTGAAAATCCTCTTGTGGAGGTAGAAGGTAGTGTGGAGGTTAATATGCTGAAGCGCACATGGCTGGCTGTGTGGTTCAAGTCCTGCCCCCAGCAGCTTGAAAATCACTCCAGGGAACCAGCAGTTAGCATAATGGCTATGTCGCTGGATTACCACGTAGTCACACTGGGCACATGTGTGTGTGTGCCCAAGATCCCGAGAGGAGAATGGAGGAGAAGGGATTGCGGCATGACCATCCCCCCCGGGAGGTGATTTCTCACTTTCTGTCTCTCTGTCTCTTTCTGTCTGTCTGGCGAGCACACACGCGACCTATAGCAAAAAAATAAAAATAAAAATAAAACCTCTCAAAAAAATACATTAAAAAAAGAAAGAAAGAAAGAAAGAAAATCACTCCAGATGTGTGTATGAGCATAGCCAAAATCCTAAGAGGAGACTGGAGAAGGGATTGCAGTGTGGCCAATCCCTGTGGGGGTTGATTTCTCACTTTACCTTTCTAACTCTCTCTCTGTCGAGCTCACGCATCTAGAGAAAAAAAACTAAAACAAAACAAACAAACAAAATCCTGCTATTATGGTTCTAGAACTCTTCATTTCTCTACAAAGTCATTGTTAGACTTCATCGAGGTAAGTCTAGCTGGTCCCCGATGCACATCAGCTCGCTCTCTCTCCTCCTGTGCACCATTCCCATTTGGGTTACTTGATATCTTGGACCTGGAAGCTTCCTCATGAATGGAATGGTGTAGGAACTGACGATATTTCCAAAGAGAGCAGAGACTCATTAAAGCTTTTTCTTTTTAAAGCTGTCACGAACTACATGAGAGCCATGAGATTTGTCAGCTACTTCGTAACTGATGCACACCTGCTTCTTGGGGTGGGAGGCTCTTCCATTAGGCTAAACTGCTACTTATAGGATCTACATTTGAAAGTGGATTAAGATGGGACAGTCCTCCTCTAATGATAAATCTGGTCATTTTTCTTCCTTTTTCTTTTAACAAGTAGAAGTAAAGAAGACATTTTAAGTTTTTTTTTTTCTTTTCTCCCTCCATTTATGAAGATCTAAGTGGTTAAAGGCCTCCTAAATATGGCTATTCTAATTTCCCTTAACCTATGGTAACACTTACTGAGTAAAGAGCTGAAATAAAATTTCTGGCTTCTCTGTTCAGATGTGTGTCAGTCAATAGAATATATCGGGTCATCGAGAAAGTCATGGTGCATTTTTGCGTAGAAAAATATGTCATGACTTTCCCTATGACTGAATATATGAGGAAACTTCAAAAAGCTTGTAGAAAATGGAATTAAAATATGGGTTTATTTTGGTGAAAGAAGTTTGTAGTTCATGTGTAGCTTTTGCATAATATGTATTTTTTTCATGAACTTTTCAAAGTCCTGCTGTATTTCATCTGGTGTGGTCAACTAAGAATAGTCTTAATTCCTTCTCCTTTTTTATGTACTTCTCATATTATTCTGGTTTTTTTTTCTTCTTAAATGATTTTCTTAGAAACTGATTAAGTTATTGTAAAATCAAAAAGCAAACATCAAAACAACTCCAAAGCAGCAACAAAACAGCTTTTTCTTTTTAAAGCTGTCACGAACTACATGAGAGCCATGAGATTTGTCAGCTACTTCGTAACTGATGCACACCTGCTTCTTGGGGTGGGAGGCTCTTCCATTAGGCTAAACTGCTACTTATAGGATCTACATTTGAAAGTGGATTAAGATGGGACAGTCCTCCTCTAATGATAAATCTGGTCATTTTTCTTCCTTTTCTTTTAACAAGTAGAAGTAAAGAAGACATTTTAAGTTTTTTTTTTTCTTTTCTCCTTCCATTTATGAAGATCTAAGTGGTTAAAGGCCTCCTAAATATGGCTATTCTAATTTCCCTTAACCTATGGTAACACTTACTGAGTAAAGAGCTGAAATAAAATTTCTGGCTTCTCTGTTCAGATGTGTGTCAGTCAATAGAATATATCGGGTCATCGAGAAAGTCATGGTGCATTTTTGCGTAGAAAAATATGTCATGACTTTCCCTATGACTGAATATATGAGGAAACTTCAAAAAGCTTGTAGAAAATGGAATTAAAATATGGGTTTATTTTGGTGAAAGAAGTTTGTAGTTCATGTGTAGCTTTTGCATAATATGTATTTTTTTCATGAACTTTTCAAAGTCCTGCTGTATTTCATCTGGTGTGGTCAACTAAGAATAGTCTTAATTCCTTCTCCTTTTTTATGTACTTCTCATATTATTCTGGTTTTTTTTTCTTCTTAAATGATTTTCTTAGAAACTGATTAAGTTATTGTAAAATCAAAAAGCAAACATCAAAACAACTCCAAAGCAGCAACAAAACAGCTACTTCTGTCAGAGGATTAATTTCCAAGATCTCATTAGAAATGTCCCCCGGAAAAAAAGCTGCACAAAGCCTCATTGATCTGACACAGGGGAAGTCAGTTCTTTGGAATTTGTTCCCGTGCTCATCTGAAAGGATTTAAATCATTCATTTCAGAAAGAAAGTGTCTGATGATTAGTGAAAGTTCCATCACGCTGCCTCTTGTTGGCAATTCCAAGAGGTCACCTGGGGTGCAGCTGAAGACCCTGGAATGGCTTTAGAGTCAGGTCTCAAGCCAGGTCCCAGCAGTAGGTGACAGTGGGCCAATCATTTACTCTCTCCAAGCCTCAATGCCCTCATCTATAAAATGGGATTAATACCACCTACCTCGAAGGGCAGTTGTGAAGATTTTATTGGCAAGAAATGGTAAGTGGCTAGCAGTACCCAGCACAATGTAGGTGATTAAGAAATGCTAGTTTCCTTTCCCTTCAAAAATGATTGCCCTGATTTTCAAGTAACCTTTATTTTCAGTGTTCCATTAAAAGTGAACATAGAGTACCCGAGCTTTCTGATCAGTTGTCTGATCAAAAGCCTCATGATGGGAATAGCCACTGGCTTTTGTGATCTATTACTGATGAGAAAGCCACTGAGACCCTGCCAGAGTTGTAGGTAGCAAGGCCCGGCATTGTCTAGAGCCTGGGTTATCTGCATCTCCTTTCTCCTGTGTCCTCTGCCTCAAGGCTCATGGGCCTCAAGAGTTCAGACCTTAAATGGGCTCAGTACCAAGTCAGGAGTCTCCATTATGGCCCTGGTGAATTTTGGTGTCCTGGCTCAAGATATGAACCATAATTTAAAAGTTATTTCTATGAGAAAACCATTTCCACATTCTAGGAATTCCTGACTGCCCAAAGAATTTTTAAAAATAAAGCATTAATGGCACAAAGAAATGTGGTATTATCTGTTGAAGATATTTTGTAGTTTTATCAACTGTACTGGGGAGAAATGTTCACCTGTTGAAATATCCCTTTTGTAAGTCAAATAATAATGTGATTGAGTGCATAAAAGAAAATTAAATGAAGAAAAAATTAAAAGAAAGAAAAAATATATATTTCTCCAAAACAATCTCAAAGCTGATATTTATTTTCCCTTTTATTCTTCTCTGAGGTTCTTTTTAAATGCTTTCAGTAGTGATCTCCACTCATTCCACTCTCAGCTCCCACAGCTTTTATTGTCAGTAGCATATTTTGACACTTTCACTGTCTTGCATATTTAGCCTTGTTTTTCCCTGTGTGTATTTGTATCTCCAAGCAGATGTGAAAGTTCTTTGGGCAGGAATTTTCTTATATGTATTTGTGTTTGCCATGATTGGTAGAGGACTGGATAGCATACTACAGAGATTGCATCAATACAAGGGAGTCTTTTAAAAGTTCATAGAAAATGTGTATTATGAAAAATACATAGATTAAAAACATTTTTGCACCAAAATAAACTTGAACTTTAATTCCACTTTCCCACAAATGTTTGGATGTTCTCTCATATTTTCTAAGTCTTTTTATGAACAATTAAATAAATGATGCCGAACAATATACTCAATCCATCTTCTCTTTGACATATATAGACACAGAGATTTCTTCCTTGGGCCTTCTCACTTTTGTTCTTACTTCTCTGAAATAGTGAGAAGGCATTATAGTGGCTACTTCCACAGTTCAGTGAGCCAGGTGGACCTTCTTTTTTTGTCTTTTTTTTTTTTTTTTCAGAGAGAGATTTTTGCTGTAGGGTACGTGTGCTCACCAGAGAGACAGAGAAACAGAAAAAGAGAAATCACCTCCCAGGTGGGATACCCTGGACAGATAGCAATCTCTTCTCCTCCACTCTCCTCTCAGGATTTTGGGCACACACACACACATGTGTCTGGCATGATTTTTAAGGCACCAGGTCCAGCACTCAAACTGCAGTCGAATGCATGGGAGTCCAGTGACATAACCATTATGCCATCTGCTGGTCCCAGCCCTTCTTTTGCTTAACTTTGACCATGGACTTCATATGTTAATTGGTACTCAGGAACAGTTTTTAACTCCTTTCCCTAAGTATAAGGACCTCAAGGCAACTTATTCTTGCTTATTGATTAGATAACGTTTATAAACTTAATTTTCTCACCCCCTTGAGGGGATGGCCATGCCACAATCCCTTTCCTCCATTCTCCTCCTGGGATCTCGGGCACACATGCACATGCCCCTAGTGTGATTTTAAAGCTACTGGGTCTGGGACTCAAACCACAGTCAACTATGTGGGAGTCCATCAATGTAACTGTTATGCCATCTTCTGGCCCCAGGTGTATAAACCTTGATTAACACTTTTCTCTCTTTTAGATGACTTTTCTTTTTTGAAAAAGTACTTTTTTAAGTAAGATTTTGCTATAAGCCACATGCACTTGCCAGAGAGAGAGGGAAAGTGAGAAATCAACCCCCAGGGAGGATGGCCACACCACAAACACTTCAGCTCTCAGGATTTTGAGCATAGACATACAAGTCCTTGATGTGATTTTCAAGCCTCCCAGTCCGGGTCTTGAACCACAGAGTCAGCCATGTGGGATCCAGCCACCTTAACTGGCACTATAACTGCTGAATCAGCATTTTTTTTTAAAGTAGAAAATAAAATTTTTAGAAGAGAAATCTTTATTTTTTTTTTAAAAAAGTAGAAAATAAAATTTTTAGAAGAGAAATCTGTTAAGAGGCATTAAAAATGGTAACACCGTCGTACAGCCATGTGTAGGTTAGTAAATTCCTTATGTTTATTCAAAAATTAAGTATTTTTCAACATTAATGACTCTCTGAAACTATGATTTGGCTCATAAAACCGGGAACTCTCTTTTTTGTAACTGCAAATCTATATACTGTATATACTAAGGTTCTTTTTCCCCCACATGGACTCTGACTGTTTAGATTAGATTAATTGAGTATGAGTATTAATTAAACACAGTAATAACAGAAAGGTTCTGAGTGGGGAGAGAGAAGAGAACTTTTTGGACACGTGGTTTTCCAACTATAAAAATGAACTTGATAAGCTCAAGCGTAGATAATTCCTAATCTGGATAATGCCCCCAAAAAGAGAGTCTCTGGATGATTGGGACCTAGGTTCCCCTGCTTACCTTGTTTACTTAAACAGTGCCATATTTATTCTTGCACAGTCAATTTAATGTGACAAAGTGAGAAACAATGAGCAGTCTTGAACTTGGTTTATTTGAACCCTTTCTTTTAGACAGCTGCTCTTCTTTTCTTCACCACAGGGGGGAGTATTGGGATTATTTAAAGGTTTATGAAGTTACTTCACGAGAAACAAAAAAGACTTAAATCATACAAAACATTGCATGAAAATCAGGACTAACTTCCCTAGATGAAACCTCTTTTACAATAAATATTTATATAAAAAAAGAAAAGGGAGATCCAGCTTCTTTTATACATTTTAATGATTTTATACAGGTTTCCTTTATTGTATAACTTAAAAATAGAAGAGAAAA